TTTGAAAACTTTTTTTTTCTTTTTCTCTTAATTAAAACAAATTTTCTGTTCTGTTTATAGTATTCCAAAAAGGGTTTTTCTAATTTTATGTTTGTTTACAATCTGTTAAATTTCTCCTACATACCCAAAATTAGAAAAAGAGTTCCTTTTGGGAATACTGCTAGTAAGATATAGAAACTTTAACTGGAGAAATAAAACATAGATTTTTGATTGTCAGTAATTAAGAAACTTAATCATTATTATTTTTTAAAATTTTAAGTGTTTGAAAGTTGTTTTTCCTCCCAATATGCTTCTTCCAGACATCTGTAGATAAGCCATGTATCTTTCCTTTGTTATACTGGTAAAAACTCTTAACTCAAATACTGGTTTGTAGAATTTAGAAGACATGGCTATACCTTTTTAGTTCTGGAATTTTGTTTTTATCATTTTTCCTGCAAATTCCACATAGGATTTTAGAAGTAGAAGTACTATAGTATTGGTTCTCATGCTATCGGGTATGTTTCTATATGGAATTTTGTCTCCAGAGTAGTCTTTACACTGCAGTTATTCCCCGGATAACCCCAAATAATTTTGATCTCATAAGCATTTACTCATTTAAGTATATTTATTGGTTACCCTGCTTCATGTCTTTAAAATAACCAAGTTGTAAGTTCCATAGTAACAAATTCTGATGAATTTCAAAATAGGTTTCACTGTTACTTTTTTGTTGTCTTTATTATTTTCTTTATATACTTTCCATTTAAAGCTTAATTTTCATAATTGCTTTCTGTGTAGAGGCAGACTTTTATACTTTTAGATAACAGTAATCAGTGTCCTAAATTGTAGGAATAGTGAGCAAAATAAACATATTTTCCATTTTGTTCTCAGTGGTGATTTAAAGTTTCAGATTTAAACTTTATACCGTAGAGTCATTATTTTACAGTCAAAAAGGAAGCATTGGCCTATTATGACTCCTTAAGCTAGCTGTAGAATCCCATTCCAATTGTATCACCATGAGAATCTTGAGTTAATCCCTACCTCAAATTAAAATATAATGAACAGTTTGTTAGTATTAGCACAGTTGAAGCCAGAAAGTTATAACCTTTTATCAAGGCTGTAAGCTTACTTAAAATTTTTTTTCATCTAGAAAAAATTGTTGGAATAGTTCATTTCTGGAGAAAATTTACTGTCAAGAAAAAAATGATTTCTCATAACCTAATGCAGTATTGAGAAAGACATAGTCAAACACTATTTTACAAAAACTTTAGTCTCTGTCACCTGCAAAATATTCCATTGCAAGCTAAAATTCTGATGAAAGAACTAAAGTTGTGTGTATACAGTTGAACACCATCCTGTATTCAGAGGCAGATATCTAACTTAGGTTGTCAGGGAAAACTCACAAATAAGGAATATAAGTTTCAGTTGCACATAAGTCAGAGCATGGTATTATGAAACTTCCTAATTATTCTCATTTAATAAACATGTTTTGTATAATGTATATATGTCTCATAAACACATCAAAAGATGTTGCTATCCTATTGTGACATAAAACAATCGAGAGATTACCCTGGTTTCTTGTAAGATATTTTAAAGCCTTTTGTTGATTTGATGTTACAGAAATAGTTTTTCTCATTTTTTTCTGTTTACTTTTTACTTTTTGTCAAAACCACTTCATATTTGTAATAATTTTATAAGGTAGGAATGCCACATCATGTAATGTAAGTTTAAAAGGACTGTCAGAATCCTCAAGGATTTTTTCTTTTGACACTATCATTTCTGACAACTGAGATTTAAAATGTTTTCTTTAATTTTCTCTTCAAAGAATAATCTTCCTAATTCCTTATAAAATAACCAATCATAAGACCTTTTCGTTGACAAAAAAATAAATGTTAGAGGGAGAAACGCATTTCTGAGTTTAATGCCCACTGTTGAGTTTTCAGAGTTGATGCATGTGTGTGGTGCTGAAGCGCTATCTTCTGGTCATTCAGCAAAAATGCGTCTTACAGATTTGTTCCAGATGCTGGTTTCTCCTGAGGGTGTATATACTGTTTTAGCTCCCTGATGCTGTGCTATACTTAATGGTAATTTGACACCACCAGTTAAGAAGTCAGTTCATGTTAAACTTTCTTTTCCTGATGCTATAGAAAATGATGATATGGTTTCTAATAGAAGAAAAGCATATTCATAATATAATATGTTAGTAAAGGGAAAGATAAATCAGTGCTTTAACAGTTTCAAAATTCCAAGATTTACGTAAATTTCATAAATGACTTAAAATCAAACCATTTAAAGTTGTAAAGACATCAGTTATGGGGAAAATCTTTTCCTGAGGATCTGCTTGAACAATGATAATTATATTTTTTTGTAGGAATGGTACATATTGTATTTTTAGGAAACTAGGAAGTGTTTTCCTTCTTAATTAAAAATGTAGAGTTCTGAAACCTTGAAGGGTAACTTGTAACATTTTAAAATTAAGGCATTCTTTGTACCTTTTTATATAAAATTTTATTTATATTATAATTTTTATGTAAATACTTACTATGATGCTGAATAAGTTTGGTCCTCTTTAAATTTCCTATTAAAGTATGTCAGAAAATTGATACTATGATACTAATTTCTTGGATTCTACAGTTAATAGCAGTGGCAACTGTATAACTGCAAAGGAAAATGTCATAAATCATTAAAAGCTTCTACACACAATTTCTTTAATACAGAAAACAGTCAATTATGAAAATACTGTTTCTCCATTGTATTTTTTTACTCTGTTATCACATATTATTTATTTTGTTTTCAAAGTAGAAATGCAGGTAAATAAAGTATTTAGCATAGTAGTAGAAACATAGTTTGTCTTCAATAAAATCCTATTCCACTAAAAAGTCTATTCAAATGATTTAATTTCTATTGTTGCAAACCCTACCTTAGTAGAATTTGTAAGAATACAAGGAGATAGTTCATAGTGTATCATGTTAAGTGGCTCATGTTAGGAGGAGATTGTGAAGGCAGGTTCTCTATAGCATGATTTTACTGTATTTTATTTATTTATTGCTTTATTTTCTGCCTCCACTACCAGAATATAAACACTTTGAGAGCAGGACCATGTCTCTTATTCATCACCTTATTCTCAGGGTCTACAGTTACTGGCACATAGGAAGTACTCAATAAATACTTGTTCCATGTTACTGAATAACTAACATTATCAGTGGCATAGATGTGTTTTATCTTTTGCATCTGAAAACAAATCTATAAGCTTTTATTTTTCAATTAAGCTATAAAAGAAGGAATAAAGTTCTTATTGAATAATTTTGTATCAGTCACTTAATGTATTTGCAGAAGGTCCAGTGATTGTGGACTGAGATATAATATTTAACCCTTATACCTGAGTATAAGTATAGTATTTTGATTTGGAAATAGGAGAAACTTGACTGTTAATGAACAGGAGAAGGTAGAATTTCAAGTCAGTTGAATTATGTTACTTTTCACGGGTATCAGAAGGCAGAGAAAATAGGTAACACTTTGAGTTGGAATAAGAGGTGACTTCATGGAGCAGCTGTAACTCAAGTTGCATTTTCTTAAAAAAAATTAATGTTTATTTATTTTTGAGAGAAACAGAGCATGAATGGGGGAGGGGCAGAGAGAGGGAGACAGAATCCAAAGCAGGCTCCAGGCTCTGAGCTGTCAGCACAGAGCCTGACACAGGGCTTGAACCCACGAACCGTGAAATCATGACCTGAACCAAAGCCCGATGCCCAATCAACTGAGCCACCCAGTCACCCCTCAAGCTGCATTTTAAGTATGAGAGTTTAAGTGAATGGACAGGAAGGATGAGTAAGCCCTTTCAGGTGGAGAAGATAGGGAAAAAGGCAGAAAACTGTAAGATTCATTTTCATAGGGAGAATATGTAAGTGTCCTATGCATGGTAAATACTCTGTAAATGTGTGGAATTCAGTTTGTTTTGAACATATTTATATGCCCAGCTTAAGAGCTCAAAGTGGTGATAATAAATGCATCTATAGACTGACAAGGCAAATTTTACCACTTAAAGCCAATGTCTTACTAACTCATCTAGCAACGTGGGATACTAGTAGTTCTTGAGATCCATTTTAGGAAAAAAATGTTTCCTGATTCTTCTAATAATTTGAGTTGGATTTCTTTGTTTAAAAAAAATTTTTAATGTTTGTTTATTTTTCACAGAGAGAAACAGAGAGTGAGTGGGGGAGGGGGCAGAGAGAGAGGGAGACAGAATCTGAAGCAGCCTCCAGGCTCTGAGCTGTCAGCACAGAGACCAGTGCGGGGCTCGAACTCACAGACCACAAGATCATGACCTGAGCCAAAGCCAGACTCTTTTAACCCATTGAGCCACCCAGGTGCCCCTGGGTTGGATTTCTAAAGGTTTTCTGGAAGATTTCTGAGAAGAGATCAAGAAAGCACTATTTCAGTGATCTTAATCTAGACAGTAAAGAGAGTTTCTGGACAGTAGTCAATGTTAGGCTTCTGGAATATTAACAGTGTGAGATGAGAAGGATCCAAATTTGGTGGCTGGCATCAGAAATAGAAATAGGGAATCAAATCCCACATACCAAGCAAAGGAATCAGAGGATCTGAAGATTTAAATTTTACAGGAAGTCAAAGATATGCTGTCCATATTTAAAGAGTCAGAACTCCGTGACTTCCAAGTCCCAAGTTGTTTTTCAAAAAAGAATTTCTCATCCTGATTTATATTTGTAGACCTCCTCCCACCCGTGCCCCTGCCAGTTTTGCTGAACCTTCATTCTAAAATGAAACATAAGTTTCTTTCGTGTTTTGTTACATCTCTTAAGCCAAAGAAATGGATTGAATCCTACAAATCTGTCATGGTAGGAATGACTTTTAAAAGCTAGTTAGAGAAAATATTTTTGATTTTGCTTAGTAAATGTTTTATGTAAACAAATGGAACAATTGATCAAGAAATAACTGAGAAGCAGTCCATTATGTCAACTAAGTAAGGATATGTGGAATATATGGAAATACCACTTCTCTTCTAGGTACCCCAAGCCTTCACAGTCCCATGTTGGATCTGGACAGTGATACACGTCCCTTGGTGTTGGGTCACCTTAGTCAGACAGCGTCATTGAAGAGGGGCAGCAGCTTTCAGTCTGGTCGAGATGACAGTAAGTTTCTCTGTACCCCTATTTTGTCTTTTAAATTTGTACTTGTATAAGTTCAAACATTTTTCTCTTGGAAATTTTCCTGATTAATTGTGTTGCTGCTGCTAAGTATTAGCAACCTTCACAGGTACATTCAACATACATAGTTAAAGTCTACTTTTATTCTTCCTGTCGTTGACTTTTAAAAAATATGCCACAGAAAATATTTTGTGAGAATTCCTTTAAGATGACATTTGTAACAAAAGTAATCTCTATAGTCAGTACAGAGAAACACCTTTTTTAATGCATTTTAAAATGTGGTTTAGAAAGAAGGGTTAATAATATATTAATTGCGAATCATTTTTCCTGAGAATAAAGCATCTTGAATTGTAACAATGTTATATTTCCTTTCTAAAGTTGATATTTACCTGTTATCTATTTACCTGTGTGAGATATAAAATGTATTGGTTATAATGCATTTGGGTACCAATTAAATGCTCTTAGTCACTCGTTATTTACAACCTCAATAACAAATCTAAGAAATCCAAATAGGGTGGGGCTCCTGGCTGGTTCAGTTAGTAGAGCATGCAACGCTTCATCTTGGGGTTGTGAATTCAAGCCACACGTTGTGTGTAGAGATTACTTAAGAAGAAAATTTTTAAAAAAAATTCAAATAGACTAATAGAAATATGCTACTTTATATTAAATTCAAATACCTTAAAGTTTTAAAGTTTGTTACTCTTTTAAGTAATGGAGTTTATTACTTTGTTGTTTTTTAAAAAAAATTTTAATGTTTATTTTTGAGAGAGAGAAAGAGCATGAGTGGCGTAGGACAGAGAGGGAGGGAGACACAGAATCTGAAGAAGGCTACAGGGTCTGAGCTGTCTGCATAGCGCCTGACGTGGGGCTTGAACCTACGAACCGTGAGATTATGAACTGAGCTGAAGTTGGACACTTAAGTGACTGAGCCACCCAGCTTGCCCTTCTGTGTGTTTTATTTATTTATTTATTTTAAATGTTTTATTTATTTCTAGGAGAGAGAGAGACAGCGTGAGCAGGGGAGGGTCAGAGAGAGAGGGAGACACAGACTCTGAAACAAGCTCCAGGCTCTGAGCTGGCAGTCAGCACAGAGCCCGACGCGGGGCTCGAACCCACGAACCGCGAGATCATGACCTAAGCGAAAGTCGGACGCTTAACCGACTAAGCCACCCAGGCGCCCCCCTTCTGTGTATTTTAAAAAGAAATTTTTCTTTATGTTGGTGAGATGATGGTGCTCCTTATTGTTTTTTGGCGTTGTGGCATTCTCCATGACAGACTGATCTTTGAGACCCATTGGTCTATATATGTAGAATATCTATATACTGCATATATGTAGAATACATGGATGTGCAGTACGCCAGGCCACTCAAAGAGCTTGTTCAGCATCAGAGCCAACAGGGACTTGGTTCATCATAGGGTGTTTTCACTTTAATTTCCCAGCAAAAAGTCTTGCAAAGAATATATGAGATAAGTATACTAATTGAGAGTCTCACGATAGTGTTATATAAGTAATGATCAATATAGCTGCATGGATGAGCTCAAACCTTTGAAACGCTAATTTGGGCGAAGATATCTAAGTCTGCTTGCCACCACATGAGGCAGGTCTTTCAGTGCTTCAGTTTTTAGATTTTCTTCTCCTATTTCTTATCTTTTCATTGGCCCATCATGCACTGGGTTTTGTGGTCTGTGTTGTATAGCATGCTGCATGCCTTTTGGAAAGCAGTGCTTATCTGTACTTGGTTTGTCTGTTTCAACTCTGTCTCAAGATGAAAAATACTTTAATCTCATTAGACTCATCATATTATCATTAGGACTCCTTTCATTGGTTGCCTGTTCAATTATAGACTCCGTGAAGGCAAAGACCTGCAGTGTTTATTCAATATTAGTGGGAAGCATCATAGACAGATGTTACAGTGTAGCCACAGGATTAAGACACAGGACACTTAATAAATATTGGCCAAATAGACAAGTACAGTTTGTAATGCACCCCTAAATAAAGAACCATGCCTTTCACATATGTGACAACTGAATTTAAAACTTTTCCCCACAACTCATAGACAAAGGACTAATAAGAGGTAAAGATGCTCTCTAGGCCACAGAAAGGAAGTGTGAATAGCTTTTAAGTATATGAAGTATATTCACTTAGAATAGGAATTTTATTTTTTTTATTTACTTATTTTTAAATGTTTTATTTATTTCTGAGAGAGAGAGAGAGAGAGATACAGCATGAACAGGGGAGGGTCAGAGAGAGAGGGAGACACAGAATCTGAAACAGGCTCCAGGCTCTGAGCTAGCTGTCAGCACAGAGCCCGAGATGGGGCTCGAACCCACGAACCGTGAGATCATGACCTGAGCCAAAGTTGGATGCTTAACTGACTGAGCCACCCAGGCACCCCTATAATAGAAATTTTAAAGGCTGTGTAAGAACAGTGGAATACCATTTTGCCAAAATCCCTAAATTTTTACTGTTTTAGGTTTTGTGTATTTGGTTTGTTCATTGGTAAGATTATAAGGAAGCTTATGTTTATGTGTGTTGCTGGTGGGTGTGTAAAGAATCCCTGTAGAGGTCAGTTTGGTCAGTTTAATAATACTTACCAAAATCACAACTCCATGTACTCTTGGACCCAGCAGTTCTTGCTCTGAGAATTTATTCTACACTGATACTTGCACATGTGTTAAATGTTGTAAGTAAAAAGTTATTGATTAAAGCACTTATTTGTTTTGTTTTGTTTTGTTTTACGCTCTAAATGACAAAACATTGTCCATTAAAAGGGAATTTAAAAAAATTATCATACGTACAAAATATGAAATACAGCTGACCCTTGAATAACACTGGTTTCAACTTTGTAGGTGTACTTATACATAGATTTTGTTCAATAAATATATTGGAAAGTTTTTTGGACTCTTGTGACAATTTGAAAAAATTCTAAGATGAACCAGGTAGCCAAGACATACAGAAAAAAATTAAAAAGTTATTGTAAGAATACAGTATATAATACTTCTAACACATAAAATATGTATTAATTGACTGCTTTATGTAATTGGTAAGTTTCCTGGTCAACAATAGGCTGTTAGTAGTTCAGCTTTTGGGGAATCAGAAGTTATTCATAGATTTCTGACTCTGCAAGAGGTCAGTGTCTCTAACTTCTGTATTGTTCAAAGCTCAATTGTACTATGTAACTGTAGGGGGAAAAAAGAAATATTTTATGTACAAATAGGAAAGAACTTCAGGATCCACTGTTAAATGAAAAAAGTGCCAAGTGTCAAAAGATTGTGTTGAGTATGCTTTCATTTTTGTGAAAGAACATTTGGGTGGAAAGAGAATATGTATTTATATTTGCTTGTGTATATAAAAGACATTTCAGAAAGAATCACAAATGACTAATAACTAGTTTCTTATGGCTGTAGCTGAGAACTGGGTAAATGGGGAATGAGTGGGAGATAGGCTTTGTTCTGTAGATCTTTTAAGTTTTCTAACCACATGTTGTCTTTTTAGAATATTATGAAACATTTAAAATAAAATCCATCCTCCCTGTCTCCCCCCCCGCCCCCCACCCCGAATAACAGCAGTAATTATAGCAACAAAACTTTTTGCCTAGGAGTAATTTGAAAGGAAGCTAACAGTTGATGAAGGAGTTAATAAAGTTCTTTTATCTCATTGGTCTTTGAAATTGCTAAATAAAAGTTAGAAGTTGACCCCAGAAGTTCTCCGGATCACTGTTGTGAAACTGGACGGTGGGAGGTCTCTGCCTGCTCCTGCTAGAGGCTGTGAAACAGAACAGCAGGGCCAGGAAGCAAGGCATGGAGGAAGGACAACACAGGAAAGAATGCAATAAAGAAAAAGGAAAACGATTGGAAGTGATTAATGCTCATTGAATTACTATTTTGTTTTTATTCCAATCAACTTATTCCCGTAAGAAATCTATAAGATGTTATTTCCCACTTGCTACAATAACTGCATTAAATGATATGTAACCCAAGAGACTTCAATATTTTTATTTTTTCTTGAATTTCTTTGTCATAGGAAGTTATTCATTATATGATAATACTTGAATATATTCCTTTATATATGGTGAAAATTCAGTAATGAATCAAGTTATCATAGTGGCATTTCTTTTTTTAAAAAAAATTTAAATGTTTATATATATATTTTTTGAGAGAGTGAGATAGAGAGCATGTGTACGTGGCACGAGCTGGGAAGGGGCAGAGAGAGAGGGAGACTCAGGGTTTGAAGCAGGCTCCAGGCTCTAGGTTGTCACCATAGAGCTGGATGTGGGACTCGAACTCAAGAACTGTGAAATCATGACCTGAACCAAAGGCAGACACCTAACTGACTGAGCACCCAGGCACCTCTATATAGTGGCATTTCCAACTGGTTGACACTTGTCTCAAATTAAAGCTAATTGGCCTTGCCCTGACTTTGCCTTACCTTGCTGTTTGAGAATAGGGCTTTTGAGGGGAAGTAGGACATCCTGAAGACAAGGTTGAAAAGCCAAAGCATCCTCCTTGCTTCTCCTGCTGTGCCCTCGAGAGCAGTCTGCCATGCATGCCCCTTTGAGAAAAACAGGGACCTCTGGTTAAAGTGTACTCTGTGTGCTGGCAGGCTTTGGTAGTGTGATATGGAAAAGAACATATTGGTCTATCAGCACATTAAAGCTCTGTGGCCAAAATGGGGCAAAGCACAACATATTTTTAGGTGGGGTAGTAGTAATATGTTCAAATTGACTTTTATTCTTGATTCAAAGTACTCATAGTATTTTTCCCCCTTAGCATGGAGATACAAAACTCCTCACCGGGTAGCATTTGTTGAAAAATTGACCAAGCTCGTTTTAAGTCAGCTGCCTAACTTCTGGAAACTCTGGATTTCATATGTTAATGGAAGCCTTTTCAGTGAGGTATGTATACAAATTCTACTGTAGATGTTGCTAAGTCATTATTTAGTTTCTAGTCTTAAAAAATTTTAGATTTCAAAGTGACTTCAAAAACTTTAGAGGCCCAAAGCCTATTAATATTGTCAGATATTTTAAGATTAAGAGCTCTATAAAGCTCTAACACTTCATAGCTGTATGATCTTAAACAAGTTACTTCATTTTTCTGAGACTTAGTATTCTCAAATGTGAAAAGAGGGTAGGAGTATCTGTCTCAAAAGGTGGTCATGAGGATTAAATGAGAAGCAGGTAAAGAAAAAAAGAAAATGTGAAATATCTTCAAGGATTTGGAATTGAGTAGATGACCAGTTAGGCAGAATTATTGATGAAATCATTGTACAGTTGATTATGAACAAATGGTAAAACAATGGTAAAAGGAGCTTGCACATGAGTCGGAAATAGCCCATGTAATTCCGGAGTTTTCTAGCTGGAAAGAATTTAATGATCTTGTTTTCTAGCCCACTGTGATCAGTCCATAGAAGCTATATACCAATATAATTGGCAGCATAGAAATTATGAACAGAAAGTGATTGATGAAATTTTGGGGGTGGTAGTGGAGTGGTCTATAGCCGACGACCAAGAAAGAATTCTTGAAGATGATTTTGGTGCAAAAAGATGATTTTATTAAAGCATGGGGATGGGACCAGTGGGCAGGAAGAGCTGCATTGGAGTCATGAGGAGTAACTCATTATATACCCTCAGGTTGGGAGGGGATCAGTGATAGAGTAAGTCTCTAAGGAATTTTGGAAGCAAGGTTTCCAGGACCTTGAGGGGCTAGGTGTTGCTGGGGAAATACCATTTATCACCTTTAAATAAAACCTCAGTCTTGAGACCCTTCAGATACATATCAAGGGCCATAAGCTTGGAGCATGATTGCCAGCATATATTCTGGGGCAATTGAGATAAAGAAAGTAGATTTATAGGATCCTTGAGGAGGTTGGGACAATGTTAAGTCAAGGTTCTCTTTTGCCTCTAGCAAAGTGTCATCATGGATGCAGCTGAGCTCCTAAAGGGAGGTCACTCTGCTGGTTTTAAGGACTTGTCACTGGGCTGCAAGTAGTGAGGGAATTTAATTTTTCATTTGCCTTAGTTTACCACATTACCATGGCAAGCACTTAAACCCCTTTCCTTTGTTCTTGGGTAGCTGGGAGTGTCCAGGAATATCACACAGATCCCACCTGGGGAGGGATGGGAGTGCTGGTTTGTGCTTTGCCCTTCAGCCTGTGTCATTCTCCCTCAACAGTAATGATTCTGATTTTTACGTGTAGTACATGGAACTCATCATTCTAGACCCTCACTTCAAGTGCCCCATGAAAAGCCCACAGGCCGTAGAGTATAGACACGAATGCCCTTTGTCTTGAGCTGCCAAAGAGGCCTCCTGTAACAAGGAGAAGACAGCTCTGGTTTTGTGTCTCTACAGAGAACTTGTTTCAGCCCTGGGAGCTGGGACAGGTAGAGATCTTCTTGAGGGTAAAGGCTATTTCCTGCTCTTTTACATTTGCATAGAAATAGAACCTAGAAATTGGATATGGAAAGGGCTACCTGGTTTTGGTATTTTGGATGCCAGCACACCTTTGTGATTTATGACCTCTTCTCCTTCATGGAAAGTGTGGTTGGGTGTCTTGGTACTTCAGGGGTCCATCCTGTCTCTCTTGACCCATGGACATTTATTCATGCTATTTCTAAAAGAAATAGAATTGTTCTCTGGAACAATTTTATTTTCCTTTGTATATTTAATTCTTATTGGCTCACTGCCTTTTTTTTTTTAAACGAGGTAGATCCTTATTTGTATCTAAAACCTTATTTGTATCTAAACCATAAAATTTCCTTTGGGTATGAAAAATGGAAAAACTATAGTGCATGACAAAACTCCTCACTACATAAAAACTGATCTCCTAAGCATGATTTATCTTTGTATTTTTTCTTCCTTTTCAAAAGCAGTGTATCATTACTGTACTTTATAACATTAAAATATTATAGCATTAAATAATGTATGTCTTATGTCTTTTTGTAATACTTGGTTACACAAAAACTCTTGAAAAGTTAACTATACCGAAGTCAGTCTTCCATAAAATAAATGTAGAGTTTAGCTGCCCTTGATAAATGCAAAGTTGAGGATGAGAATGCTTTATTTTTTTTTTCTCCAAATTTTTATTTAAATTCCAGTTAGTTAACATGTAGTGTAATACTGGTTTCTGGTGTAGAATTTAGTGATTCATCACTTACGTACAACACCTGGTGCTCATCACAAGTGCCTTCCTTAGTACTCATCATCTATTTAACCCATTCTACTGCCCAACCATCAATTTGTTCTCCATAGTTAAGAGTCAGTTTCTTGGTTTGCCTCTTTTTTCAACTTCTATGTTCATTTGTTTCTTAAATTTCACATATGAGTAAAATCATATGATATTTGTCTTTCTATGACTGACCTATTTTACTTAGCATAATATTGTCTACCTCCTTGCAAATGGCAAGATTTCATTCTTCTTTATGGCTGAATAATATTCCGTTGTTGTGTGTGTGTGTGTGTGTGTGTGTGTGTGTGTGTGTATACCAAATCTTCTATTTTTTATCTTTCCAAATTTTTATTTAAATTCTGGTTAGTTCACATACAGTATAATATTGGTTTCAGTAGTAGAATTCAGTGATTCATCACTTACGTATAATACCTAGTGCTCCTCACAATACATGCCCTCCTTAATACCCATCTGCCACCCATCTCTGATCACCCTCAGTTTGTTCTGTCATTAAAAGTCTCTTGTGGTTTGTTTCCCTCTTTTCTCTCCACTCCCTTTCCCATATGTTCCTCTGTTTTGTTACTTATATTCCATTTATGAGTGAAATCCTATAATATTTGTCTTTCTCTGACTTACTTCACTTAGCATAATACTCTTCGGCTCCATATATGTCATTGCAAATGGCAAGATTCCATTCTTTTTGATGGCTGGGAAATATTCCATTTTGTGCGCCCACGCACTCACACACACTCATGTACACCACCTCTTCTTTATCCATTCATCAGCTGATGGACATTTAGACTCTTTCCATAATTTGGCTATTGTTGATTATACTGCTATAAACTTTGGGGTGCATGTGCCCCTTTGAATTAGTATTTTTGTATCCTTTGGGTAAATACCTAGTAGTGCAATTGCTGGATCATAGAGTAGTTCTAACTTTTTGAGGAAGCTCCATACTGTTCTCTGAGTGGCTGCACTAGTTTGTATTACAACCAACAGTGTAAGAGGATTCCTCTTTCTCTGCATCCTCATCAACACCTCTTGTTACCTGTATTGTTAATTTTAGCCCTTCTCATTGGTGTGAGGTGAGTAGTATCATATTCCTTATGATAAATGATGATGAGCATGTTTTCCTGTGTCTGTTAGGTATCTGTATGTGTTCTTTAGAAAAATATTTATTCATGTCTTCTGCCATTTTTTAACCTGATTATTTGTTTTTCTGGGTGTTGTATTTTTATAAGTGCTTTATAGATTTTGGATACTAACCCTTTATCCAATATGTCATATGCAAATATCTTCTCCAGTTTTGAAGATTGCCTTTTAGTTTTGTTGATTGCTTATTGATTGTGCAGAAGCTTTTTATTTTGACCAAATCCCAATAGTTTATTTTGCTTTTGTTTCCCTTGCCTCAGGAGATATATCTAGTAAGAAGTTGCTACAGCCAATGTCAGAGTTTCTTCTCTAGGATTTTGATGATTTCTTGTCTCACATTTAGGTCAGTCATCCATTTTGAGTTTGTTTTTGTGTATGGTGTAAGAGAGTGGTCCAGTTTCTTTCTTTTGGATGTTGCTGTCCAGTTTTCCTAACACCATTTCTTGAAGAGACTGTCTTTTTTTCCATTTTTCCATTCCATTCTCTTTCCTGCTTTGTTGAAGATTGACTATATAGTTGTAGGTTCATTTCTGGATTTTCTATTCTGTTCCCTTGATCTATGTGTCTGTTTCTGTACAATTACCATACAGCCTTGATGACTGTAGCTTTGTAGTATAACTTGAAGTCTGGAATTGTGATACCTCAAGCTTTGCTTTTCTTTTTCAAGATTGCTTTGGCTATTTTGGTTCTTCTGTGCTTCTGTACAGATTTTAGGTTGTTTGTTGTAGCTCTGTGAAAATGTTGGTGGTATTTTGATAGGGGATTGCATTAAATGTGTAGATTTCTTTGGGTAGTGTAGACATTTTAACAATGTTTGTTCTTCCAATCCATGAGTATGGAATGTTTTACCATTTCTTTGCGTTATCTTTATTTTGCTTCATCAGTATTTTTTTTATAGATCTTTTACCTCTGGTTAAATTTTTTCCAGGGTATCTTAATGGTTTTTGCTGCAGTTGTAAATCAGGTAAGTTCCATAATTTCCCTTTCTGCTGCTTCATTATTGGTGTAAAGAAATACAACAGATTTTTGTACGTTGATTTTTTTTATCCTGCGACTTTACTGAGTTTGTGTATCAGTTCTAGCAATTTTTTGGTGGAGTCTTTTTAGTTTTCTGTTTATGTCATCTGCAGTGAAAGTTTGACTTCTTCCTTACCTATTGGGATGCCTTTTATTTCTTTTTGCTGTTTGATTGCTGAGGCTAGGACTATGTTAAATAACCGTGGTGAGAGTCTACATCCCTGTCTCATTCTTAGCTCTTAGTTTTTTCCCATTGAAGATGATATTAGCTGTGGGTTTTTCATATTGGCCTTTATTATGTTGAGGTTCCTTCTAAACCAACTTTGTTGAGAGCTTTTATCATGAAAGCAATGCTGTACTTTGTCAAATGCTTTTCTGCATCTACTGAAAGGATCATGTGTTTTTTATCCTTTATTAATATCTGTATCACATTGATTGATTTGCAAATATTGAATTAATGTACAGCCCAGGAATAAATATCACTTGATCATTCTGAATGATTTTAATGGACTGTTGGATTTAATTTACTAGCATTTTGTTGAGAATTTTTGCATCCATGTT